TATATATATATATATATATATATATATATAAAGAGCATAATATTTCACACAAACATATACATATATTTATGCGATTTATTTTCTCTTGAATAAGTATACAGGCAGAAATTACCTTAGTTGTTCAGGTACTGATACAGAATAATAGTATGAGGCAGTACCATTCAGGTATGATGCGTCAGAACTGACCACATTGAAGATCACACTGGACTTGTGCCACATTTTAAAAGAACTCCACACGTTTGCTATGGTCACGGTCTTTTGGCATTTCAAGCGGCAACGAGAACCTTTTTTGTACTATCGTACGTGTTGCTTTGTTTAGGTTGCATATTTATTTGTGCTTGTCGTTTATTTGTGCTTGTCGTATAATCTGTCTCATGTCCTTCAAACACCAAGTACACAGTTATTTGCTTCATCTGTTTCATGTTTCATTATTGGTACTGCAAAATTCAGGTTAGAACACTAACAACAAGTCAGTCATCCTCACCACCATTGCAAAATATTCTCTCTCTAAACCTGAGTTCACCTATTTCACGTAAAACTCACGTTACGCGAGGGAATTGAACAATTTCGATATAAAATAATGTCTCGATAGTTGCGAATATTTGAAAATATAGTTGAACCATCTTGACCGAAAGCGTTTTGGAGCGGTAGAAGACGTTCACCTCATAAAATGACATGAAACTAATGTGCATTGCTTGTGCATTATTTCCTTCAGTGACAAACCCATTTCTTCAAGCAGACGGCTATCACTTTTATAATCCAATAACACGAACCCTGATATATTCGTGTGGAATGAAAGACTTTCCAAACATTTATGGCCGAGTAGCAGATTCAACACACAGCTCAGGAAATGACCAAAAAGAAATGCACCTACTAATGGTGAGAAAAAACACTAATGGTGAGAAAACCTGAATGCAATAAACCTGCTTTATCAAAACCAGACGTAAAACTGTTTGCCCAAATGTTACCCAGAGAATTGTTAGAGGCAGCAAAAACATGAACAAGTGAAGAGAACAGTAAGGACGACGATCGATGTGGCTTACTGGAGATCTTTACGTGATCGATAAACACCAACAACATAAGAGTTACAGGGAAAGCATGGCACTGGTCCTAGTGGTATTCCTAGAAAACACAATACGCATAGCTAGACAGTCACTGTGCTAGTCGGGGTGCTCGTTTTCAATACCGCACTAGCCCTACCACCAAACGTTGCGATACATAGAGAGCACGAGTATTCATTCTCCGGCAAGCTTTTCATTTTCGGAGTGAAACAGTACGTATGATAACCGCGATCACAATCATCGCAAAATAGTAGCTGATCCTAAACAACAAATATTTTCCTGGATGACCACGAAAAACTAGGCTTTTTGAGCATGTGTGACCTGCGATGTTAAAGTAGAAGGAAGACCAGCTCCACTTTCTAAATGTTAGGAATCAGAGAATATGTTAAAAATCAAATATTTTCAATAAAGATGCAAGCGAACTTACGGAAAACGTGCAATATAATGGTAACTAACGGTTCTGGTGGATTTAATAGGACAACTTGCTCTTCTTATAACATTTACAGGATCACAAATGGATACGATAATTGGCTCCCATAATCAAATTGTTAAGTGCACTAACAATGTGGTAAAGAACCTTCTAGCGCTTCTAATAACGGAACTCTAAGTGAAACCCACGTCATTCTCCGACGTTCCACAAATTGTGCAACTCTTACATTCGATGCACTGCCATCCATAGCGCATAATAATAACTGGGACGTTATCATTGAAGTTAAGGCAAGAAGAGTGAGCTAAAAGTCTATTATGAGCAAAAAAACTATAGGTGATAAGCTTGTTTCAACTAAATAATGTAGAAAAGGTGTTCTGACTAGATGTATCTCTAAATGAGATATCCAGAAATTAAAGCTTCAGAGTAGTTGCAAATGGTTCAGCTCTCAAGTAAACATTCCACAAACTGGTCAGCGCTTTGTTCTCATGTTTTTACAACTTCTCTTCCAGAATTTGCTACTAACAGAATTTTTTCATCACACAACGTTGTTTTTTTAGTTAATTGGCAGGACTACACAGAAGGGAGAGGCAAGACGTTTAGAAATTGGACCGAGTCGAACGAAACCCACCCGATCTGCCACAGTCATGACACACAACGAGATCCTCCGGTTTCTTCGTCTTCTTGTTCATGTGTTTGCTACCCAGACACAAATCACAGATTGTAGATATTTCAAGCGCAGGCGAGATTTCTACAAATAAGTCAGCATCACCACTAATATGTCAGGAAACATTCGCAAAGAAACATTATATATAGTCTCACCTATGCTAGTATCGTTTGGTAGTGGATCTTTATGTTGAAATGCTTTGTGATAGGCTAAACCCGCGAGACTCTTGTAGGACGCTGGACACACTGAAGATAAAATGTCGAATGAAGGAGAATGAGTTCGAATAAAATATGACTAGGATGATGAGGATGATGATGATGCTGATGAAAAACAGCATACGCAGCCAGTCGCCGCGACCGGCAACCACATGCAGCAGCGGGCCGTGGGACGCCAAGTGACGGCGGGACGCGGCGCACGCGCGGCGGATTGCCGGCGCTAACGGGCGCTGAGCCACGAAGCCCACACTCACTTGTGCATTGGAAACTGTTTGCTTCGTCCGCCGCGTCCTGCCGCGTACTTGCCGACGCGGTCCTGCCTCGCCCCGATCTCGCCAGCTCACTCGCCTTCTTCTTGTTTTTCGTACCGCTTCCGACACCAGATGCACCACCCTGTGTCTTGCGACTCTTACGCTTCGATCCCCAGTCATCCTCGTCGCTACCTCCATCGTCATTTGACGCGTCATCGTCACCCTCTTCGTTATAATCCTTAAAAAAGTAGCATCAATTCCTAAACAATAGAGATGCAGAATTCCTAATAACTTACAAAAATCCCTTTTGGTGTTCCTTTACCTTGACCATAGTCGAAAACTAAGTCAAGTGTATCTGAACAAGTCTAAAATTCCTTACTCGTCAAATATTTCTTCACTAAAGAACAGAAAACGTATTGTGGAGTTCGTGTTCAATATAGTCCCATAAAAATACAAAAACATGCGGTTTTTTAGCTGGACATTTCACAAGGGACGTCAACATAATTGTGCTGTTGATAAGGCCTAATAAAGAAGCGCATGTCAGAAATATTAAATAAATCATAAAGCTATCGGTGTTGATCAATCCCTGAGGGATCTGCCATGCATTCGACTTCATCAAGCATCGTTTCGAGATGAGTGGATGCATATCTGGCGTTTACAATGATTTGTGCTGGCCTACCGATGTATCGAGTCAGCGTTGCTATCCTCCCAGACAAATCTGGTACCAATTTGCTGAGCTCGGAGGGAAAAAGAAAGAGAAATGGGCGCGGGGATCTATCCCATGTTTATTGCAGGGCGTCTCCGACCACTGCGCTAGACGCGACCCCAGAATGTATTGCCATCTAGTAAACTACACATTTTGTACCATGGAAATATTATCAGTATTATATATGAGGAGCAGCTGAATGGAAAAGAGAAGAATCTAGTATATCAAACTATTTAAATCACAAAATAATGTTTACCAGATTGTGTCGTTGATGCTGTCGTATTGAGTGCAGCATCGAGAGCCGGATTATCACGAAGGAACATCTTCATTTCAATAGCATCAGATGAGTTAGCGGATTGACGGCGACGCCATCGACAAGTTGAGTATTGCACAACGATGTTTCCGTCGGTCGATGTTGAACGTTGACAAGGTAAACGATAGAAGATTGGGTTGAAGCGATGTGCTGTTCCGGTTTGTTGATCAAAGAGAGGATAACGTAGCCTAAAATAAAAAGGTCAAAATAATCGTTCTACTATAACTATACTACTAAGATTATTCACAAAAGAGCACGCTGCTTAAACTTGAGTACACCGCACAACGAAAAGGATTGCTGTGGCAAAAAGATCAATAGAAATAGCTGAGAGACGTGCGAAACGAAGGACCCACATGGTGTGGTGGTGAACGCGTTACTCCCCGGAAAGGACAATAGCGCGTTCGTTCCCCAGCATAAACACCTGCGGTCCAGAGTTTTGCAAATATCTCAGCAATGTTGTGATTGTATTTCGCTTAGTAACCTGCCATGAAAATTATAGAAGGCAGAAAACAAACGTAAAAACAAGTTGCTGGTAGTTTGTATTTCGGCGAATGCAAGCACTTATAAAACAACATTCCCACAAAGTTCTGCAGAACAAGCTTGTGATCATCTGGAATAATTTGACATGCTAAGAAATAGTCCCACATCTGGTTATGAAAACAGATCTATCCAAATAAACGAAAAACTGTGTTGATGCGGTTATCACTGGAATAAAGAGAACAAAACTGAAAACAGATATCAAAGTGTCGTCATTTCCAATTTTAACTGTCTACTCTTCCTTAATTATGGATAATTGCTGACAGCTCCTATAGGTCAATAACATGGCTGAGAGCAAGGCGAAACGAAGGACTCGAATAATGTGGTGGCGAACGCGTTAGCCCCTGGAAAGGGTTCGCTCCTCACCGCAGACATCAGCGGTCCGGAGTTTTGAAAATATCTCAGCATCTCACCCAGTTGCTTAACCACATTCCAGCCCACCTCACAAACACCCAAATGTTCCTGGAACGTCTACGTAACGCGTCTCCCAATAACGCGTACGTGAGTCTTTCGACGTTACCGCACTGTACACCAACGTATCGAATGACTCCGCAATGCAAGCCATCTTCGAACTTCTTGTTGAACATGAAGGAAGAATAAATATGCATGGCTTGTCCATCCAGCAGCTAATGGCTCTCTTAAAGGAGTGCCTAAACTGCTCGATCTTCAGATGGTCTGGGAAATATTTCGCGCAAATAAGGGGGTTGGCAATGGGACAGCGATTGGCACCAAGCCTGGCCATTGTGTTCATGTCTAAGATAGAAGCCCCTGTTCTCGAACTCCGGCCACTACTCTACTGCAGATATGTAGATGATTGTTTTGTCGTCTTCTCTACGCAGGAGGTGATGGACAAATGCTTCGAATTATTAAACGAGCAGTCCGAGTACAAAAAGGTCACCGGGGAGAAACCGAGAGAAAACTGGCTTCCGTTTTTGGACGTCCAAATAAACCTATCAAGTAGCGGTTACTTGACAAAGTGGCATCGAAAGCCAAGTAACAAGAATATCCTTGTCCATTTCCTTTCTTCGCACCCTTCACACACAAAGAGGGCGATTGTGAGAAACATGTTTCGAACAGCCACCTCTGTGTGCACTACCAGGGAACTAAAGGAAGAATCGCGCGACTTGGCCCGGCAAATAGCCATCTCCAATGGCTACGAAATAGTAACCCCACGAGATAAGTTTACAAGGAGAACGACGCGCCCACGCGAAACGCTTGGCCAAAATAAAATCCCGTTTATGTTGCCTTTCATAAGCGATGAAGTAAGCGCAGCTATAAAACGATGATTAAGAAGGGCAGGTCTAGAGGAATCGGTAGCGATAGTTGAAATACCACCGACTACTCTACGTCGCCAATTAGTTCGCAACCGCCTGCATGACCGTCTGTGTGAAACAACAAATTGCGTAATTTGCACTTACGGCAGGGACGGTGATTGCATGAGTTCAGGTACGATATACCTGATCTCGTGTAACAATTGCGGAGATGAATATATTGGCGAAACGGGCAGACCTTTGTGTATCCGTATAAAAGAACACCTAGATGGCAAACGAAAACTAAGACGAAGCACCCCACTAGGCACGCATAGGATACAAAAGCATAGCGGAGACGATTTTGAAGTATCAGTATCCTTGCACAGGAGTCCAAAACACCAGCGCGAAAACTCCTAGAGGCTTTTTGGATCAATGCCAAAAACCCTACAATGAATAGCAGGGACGAATGCCCGGAGGTCATACGCGACCTGATCCTATACGTTCGCATCGATTTTTGATGTGGGATAGCGCAGTCGTCAACCACATGCGACTATAATCAGCTGTTCTAAACTTCCTCATTGGAAGTCACGAAAAAGCGGTGGGTTTTTCGAGAAGTGTCATGTAATTACCGGAGAGTTCTTCGTCTTTTTGTAAGTGTCATTGAAGCGTTTGGCCTAGTAGATTGTATATCAGCATACCGGTTACCAAAGAGTCTTTCGTCCTTTGCCGAGGTTAAGAGAAAGTCGATCCTGGGAACTATCTCAGCATCATTATGAAAACGGAGAGTTTCACATGTTTAAAAAAGTAAGAAAAAATAATTGTGCATGACAAGTACCTCGCCCGGCGTTCATTGCACGCTCGTTCATTCCACTTTGAGCAATTCTTCATTAACTCGATATATGCACTCTCACTGATCATCTCTTGAAAACGTAACTTGAATGTAAACCCAAAACAATGTCGTAAAATTTGAATAAACAAAAAAGAAAGGGAAAAAGAAGCAAACCCACAGGATGAGCCGAGCGCTCGTCGACCACAAGACGCCGCTGCGTTGGTTGCGGATCGATAATTGCAGCCACTCAAATTCGATGTACGTGCAATTGCACGCTTTTTTTGGGTGGTATCGTACGGAAACCATATTTATTTTATGCTGAAGCAAATAAAAAGCTCAAGAATTCCATTATCGGTCCTTAAGTTATGTTTAACTCGGCAGTTACAAGAGTGTAATAATCTGTCTTGGCAGTTTCTTAACACTTCAGTTCAGTCCGACATCAGTCTATCTGCACACATGCCTGAGGCGAAGTTGAACCGGCATGAATTGATATCAACTCATTCTTTTTGGACAGTTTTCATTTCCATGAAAGGGCTATGTTTTTTGTACTCCATCGATGACATAACCAATGCAGATAATTTTGCCGATCATTTAACCTGGAATACTAGTTCGTACAGTAGTGATTTGCAAAAAACTGTTCTTTACACGATTTCATGTCGTTAAGGAGACACTGATGCTTATGAAGACAACAGCCACTAGAGACGCCTTGTGGGAGGCAAATCAGACTTTTCTCGTTTCCTTCGTCATCTAAGTGTAACATTTAGGAGGATATTTTGGCCTCGATAAAGTAGCAACTCAGTGAAAGGACTTGTATTGGCGAAATGCGCAGTGCAGTTGTGTACTTACTGTAGGAAACTATTTATTTGCCAATGGGCTAGGCGTTTATCAATGTCCTTACCCGTATTGGGTCTTCTTCCGAAATCTCGTTCTCGTAATATTTCATTAGCGTTGAAAACCTCATGTTCAGATAAGTTTGTTTTACAAAATTCTTACAACTAACACTTCTCACGCACTATTTACAATGTTTACAAATGGACATATTTATTGGTTCAGTGAACGAATTGGTTCAAAAAATTCAAACACAAGTTGGTGGTAGCTCATTTGTGATTCGCTCTCCTCAAAAGGACAAGAGCCTTGTGCTATATAATGAGCGTTCCACTTCCAACGTACTCTGGGGGAGGGGGTGAAAATTGGTTTCCAAAATGTTGCAATACTGTGTATCCTATTCGGCTAAATATTGCCCATTTTCATCTCATAGATATGAGGGAGTGGTTCTAGAAAGAATTGTGCTTTGAAATCTCTTTGGCTCGATGAAATTTTAACAACCGACATGACTGAAGAAAAGCTCTGAAGATGGACTCATCGGCATAATATGGTCACAACAGCACCAATCATCTACCCACTGAGACTGAATTTTGCTTTGAAAAATGCGGGGATGCGTATTTGGAATAAATTTCATGTGAATGTAACAAAAAGCAACAGCTGCTACTGATATAACTAAAAACCTAGCCTCCAGCAAATATTCCTCAAATAATTACTATTTTCCATATTGTCCTATGTTTCCTTTGCTAACTACGCTAACTGCTGGCCACACTTATCTTTGCATTCAAAAGCGCTTCTCTAATTCTGTCAATGTATGTGTCATCACCATCTGTCTTACGTTTTTCCTTGCAGCTGCCTAGAAAATGGATGTAGTCCTATGATATGTCAACATATGCATGCTTGAAACCTCAAAAGAAAAGGCTCTATATTTTTTCTTTGCGTGTCCACATCTGCGTTCCTATAATACATAGGCTGGAAAGGAGTCACGCTCATTTTAGAGCGATCGGAAGCAGTAGCTATCATTTTCGTCAGCTTTGATACTGTCATAACAGTCACATTCTAGTTTTTATATCTTTTTTTTGTTTATTGTTTTTTACTCAAGTGACCCGTCTTGTCTTCACGTCTACTGTGCCGTTCGCAGCATTTCTCACATTCGTTTCGTTTTCTCGCATCCATCGTCCACGAAGCTCTTTAAAGTTTTTACATGTGGCTTCGGTTGTTGCCTGAGGATTTTCATCCTATCTTGAATGTAGAATTTTGGTCAAGTCGATTCTTCCTGGAATCCTGGGATAGCTGAGCTTAGGCGCTCCCAATTAGATTGCGGAGAGTGATTTTTTTTTCTGGACGGGTCCGGCAACAATTCCCCGATCCCGAAGGGATGAGAGGCTCGCTTGACCCGGAGCGGAATCAAACTATCACCACACTTGTGATGACCGACATCACTACCACTGTGCTATTCGCCCCATTTTATGCTCTTTGCTCATTAAAATTGTTAAACTCTTATTCACATAATCACTACGGTGCGTTATGTTCTCACCAAGGCAGGGAAGACTGATCCTACACCATCCACAACGCTGTCCTCCATTCTACGCTGGAACGCCCTAGTTCGGCTATACCTAAGATTGCAAGAAGAATCCACTCGATCAGCAATCTACGACATTCAAAATGGAATGAAAATCCTAAATCAATGGAAACAAATCGAATGCAAGAAGTACCGGGACCCACACAAGACATATGGTGAGGGTCTAGTTTCATGTAGCAGTTGTGCACTATACTACTTCACCAGCCTATTTCGGAGGCTACCTTTTTCTTTCAATGTAGTTGCACATTCGTTGTTTTATCCTCATTTGTTGATCCGGTTGTTGTCGTAACGACTATATTGTTACATTGCTGGATATGGTCATATTGTTACTGTTGTAGGCAGCCGCATAGAGTAATATATGGGCGAGGAATGTCTGTACCACCTCGTTTCTTCTCTTTTTTGAAAAATTTATACGGACTTTGTTGGCACACGAATTTCTCAACCAAAGGATTTGTTGTCACTAACACCGTGCACTACAACGGGATGGAATGGGCTGATTTCCCACGTGGAATTAGGAGAGGAAGCTTGCACTGTGTAGGATAATAACCAAGAATGGTGTAAACTTACAATGAAGTGATTATGCTCACTGCAAACATTCAGAGGGAAAAACGTCATGAGCTACTGTAGGAAGCCACTTAGAGCGATGTGGAACCTAGTTTACACAATAACCTCTGCCCAATATTTGAAATGGCTACAATCACACCGGAGTGTACGGGCAGTTTGATGCTACTGTGAGAAACGGTAGTATGGTAGGAATAGAAATACCGGATTAGCGATACAGGCGAACTCTCAACAGACTTCAGGTACTGCTAGTGCTTCCAAGCTCTTTAATTCGAGAAATAGTGAATTTATGGAGCCCATCGGGCAGTGGTAGTGATGTCGCTTATCACGAGCATGGTGCTAGTTGGATCCCGCTCCTGACGAACCAAACCTCTCATCCCTTCAAGGTCGGGAAATTGGTGCCGGGCTCGTCTAGGAAAAAATCGCTCTCTGCAATCCAAATGGAAACGCTAAAGTCCGGCTATCTCAAGACTCCAGGGAGAATCGACTCAACCAGCATTCTACGATATCCAAGATGAAACGAAAACCCTCAAGAAGCAACAGAAGCTAAATGTAAAAAGTTGGAAGATCTTAGAATACTGAATTTCCTATCACAGGTTGGTGGGGTACTTCATGGCCCGATGCACCACGAGCGTTTTTCTTTCATTCCTTTAGACAAGTTTTGTAAGAATTTTCCGAAGTCCAAGAGAAGAAGGATTTGATTAGGCCTCGTTCAGGATCATGAAGTAAAGGCCTCCTTCTTATTGTGCAAGACTAAGCATCTACAAAACAGTTGATGCTCTAATAAAAATGACCCTAATTTATATATTTGTATTCCTATGTGTGTCGATGTTATCATCAGCATTATTGTCATTGATCGACTCGGATCAATTAGGCTCTAAAGAAAACTAAGGCGCCAAAACGTTGGCCGAATAAAGTTTCCTACGAACCTCGTGTTAAATTACCAGTGAAAAACTTACGTTTTGATTAGTCATGGCAAAGTTCGATGAATTTCGCTTTCTGAAATACTATTGTTATTTTTTAACATAGCAGCCACCACCATTCTTATTAATATTTCCCAGGATCGACTTTTTATTAGCCTCGGCATTGGAGTATGAATGCGTCGTTTTCTTGTTCAGCCATCAATAATCAGCTGTTCTAATTTTCCTCATTGGAAATCACGTAAAAAGCGGCTCTGAAGAAGGCGATACTGCCGAAATGTCAGCTACTGTTGTATTGTATTGTGTTTTTATATGGAAGCAAATGTATGCTGCTTAAGAACCTCGCGATTGCTGAACAAGAAAACGACGCATTTTTATTAATAGTATTGTTAGACGAGTTACAGCCAACTGAAGGGTGATATCTTGTGAACACCAGTACTCACGTTTTAGTGTTATGATTTGCCATTTCATTATAGCGACAGAATATTCCTATGCATCGAACAACGCTATACTACAGCAGAGGATTTGTCTACCGGCGTAGCGATAAGAGCTGAAGATGGGAAGACTTTGAAGGTCTGAGCTGCGCATTCCAGCTAGACGTGAATGCCGGCTAGATTTCAGAAGACATTGTTCAAGCACTTTGTGCGTGGTGGGCATAGTTTTACTTGGTTGAAATATCACCCCACGTCTCTGTTGAATCACAGAACGTTAGGACGACTATTGAGTTAAAAAGATGAACGCAGAGTTCTGGGTCCGTTATAGCGTGTCGGTGGTTTTTTTGCGAATAGCCGAATTAGGCCCATGTTGCTCTCCTTCTTCTTTATAATCTCTCGTTCATATTGTTCTCCATGCCTTTCTGAACGTCCAGGCAGACATACGAGTTCGTTTCTGCTATGAGAAAACATCGAGTTCGACTTGTTCACCTTCGTACCATGAGTATTTCATAAACTGAGTCTTCGCCCGCAGTCCAATCTTTTTTCCTGCATCGTTGAGCCCTCTGATCAATATCTCTGCTTCGTCGGTACTTTTGAAAGAATGACGTTGTCTTCAGTAATAAGGATATTTGGAAAACGTTTCCCATCAGTACGGGTGCTTTTCTCATCATAGTGTTATGACTTCACTATCCACTACATACAATGAGGTGAAAAATAGCTTTAGCAAGATCTTTTTGCCTTGTAAAACCTCTTTTGTTAACGGTATAGTGAGGAGTCGATGAAAAATCCGTATATTTGTGGCGCATTACCGGTGACAGTCACAGCTGAAGCCCGATATAGAAAGAGTGCTCTTTTTGCTAACGAACGCTGATAAAACTGCATTCGTTTCGACGCTGTCAAAGGCTTTTTCATACTCTATAAGGGTTTCGACAACGGGCAGATGGTACTCCCGACAAACTTCCATAAAATCTGATACAGTTTGGATGTGGCCTATGCAGCACAATTCCTATTGGAAACCTACTTAGTCACGTGGATGTGCCTCATGCGAAGTATTTGATTTGTGCGACATAGGCAACATGCGCTTTGTAAAGAACCCGTGAAGCACTTACAGAAAAATCTGGTAGATGATGTGAAAATCGTCCCAATTATTCATTCGTGCTTTAAGTGCAACGTAATGGAAGGATAAAGGGTAGAATGTTTAAAAAAAGAATAAAGCTCGGCGTTGATCAACCCCTGAGGGATGCGCCATGCATTCGACTTCGTTAAGCATCGGCAGAGGTTATTGACTCTATATCTAACCTTTACAGTGACTTGCGGTAGATTACCGATATATCAAGTTGATACTGTTATTGTCCTCCCAAACAAGTCTTTGGGATCTATGGGCAGAGAGGACTGCGATGGGTCGAAAAATTAACGCTTTTAATAACCAGAAACATCTTCAACATGGAAATCGTAACCGTCTCAATAAGATATTCCCTTTACCCTTTAAGATATTTAGAAACGCCGGTGAGCTTATGCTAATAAGGCAACAATTGTTTTTCAATTCAAAACCTGGTTCGGTTTTAATTAAAGCGGCTAAGAAAAAGCGATTTTTGTAATAAAATTTAGACTAAGTTTGAACACTGCTAATAGTGAAATACAACCGCAGTAATGCTGAGATGTTTGTAAAACTCAGGACTACAGGTGTCTACGGTGGAAATCGAACACACTATAACCTTTTCCGGATCTAACGCGTTCACCACCATACCATGCAGGTCCTTCCTTTAGATTATCTCTCAGCTATGACTGCTAGCAGTTATGACCGTTCTAGATGTAAACGAAAGGAATATGGTTAGTATGCCACAAAGACATAAAACTCCAGGATTGTCGCGGTTTGCAGCAGTTTTGCTATGGAATCACCATAACAGATTGTTAATGGTTGGGATAATGTGTGCTTATAACCACTGTATATCTCGTATATTATTAATTACTAATTGGTAAATCGATTTGAGTTTAGGTAATGGTTTCTTTAGGCTCATTCTCCTTCACCATTTCTCTTAGTAAAACAGAAAGGTTCACCCAAGACCATCACTACGTCATCTTGCCAGTCCTATAAAATATCTGAATGCCCAAGATGCTTGCTTCTTAATTCAACATCAGCTCTCTAAAATATTTAATCCATGGAGAGTGAAAATTGACTGTCACCATAAGATTAAAATGCATTTGAGTGTCGGACACCGTACGCATTCCAGAAGTACCCATACACATTTGGAATGGCTATTAGGCGGCGCGTTTGCGTCGCGTTTCGTCGCGCTCATTCTTACTCTTTTCGCGTCAACGGCTACTCGCTTTCCATCCTATGGACGTACGCACGGTATGTCTGGAGGTATAATCGAAGAAAAAGCTGTCCACGACGCCTTAGACGCTCTTCTACGTGCTAGAGAGGTAAGGAATTTCTGATCATTACTGTTTGGTAGTGGTAAGTGATACCGATTTCAGTTGTACCACATGTATGATGATATGTGTTTTGGGTTGGGTGGATGAGTCATGAGGTGATTTTTCTCGTGCCTTGTTGTAAAATATCATGAATTTTGACGAAATTTGGTGCTTTTAGCAATTTGAAGTTCGCGTGGAGTTTCGATCACTTGCTATTTTGGGTGTTATCGGTGTTTTTTTCTTATATGTTCGGTTTTATGCCATGAGTCCGAAAAATAAAGTGATTTTGTTTTGTTGCCTTGCTAAGGTGGTACATGATGCATCTATCTTAGCGATGGATTTTACCGATCTGTTCGCCTGTTTGTTCGTTAGGGCCATTAGGGGTGCGTGCCCCGTTTTCTCACTCTTCGTGCAATATGTTTGAGTGATTCTCGTTCCGTTATACACATAAACTAAGTATAGCGCGCGACTTTGTATTGAATTTAATACGGTACTTTATAAGAGGTTATACATATATCTTGTCTTTTCAACGGTGTTTCAGTATGCATTTCATTCCGTTAGTATGTAAGTTATGTCCCTGGTTGGTGTCTATATTTCATATAGTTATCAATTATTTCCGTTCCGAGAAGTGATAAGAACTCTACTACGAGTGTTAACTATGATTTGCAATGTTATTTAGCATTCTGGTGCCGACACTGCTACAAATCCGTCACTGAAGCGCAGCTATCCTGAAGAAACTGATCGTGCGTCGCCTTCAATCTCTGCATCAATTTATATATCGAATATTAGTGATGTTCTTATTTGTGTATTTGATGTACCCTTAAAAATGGTTTGCATGTTTGTTGGTCCTGGGTCGTCTTCACATATTTAGTGTCAAAGTTTTTGCAGCGAATCCCGTGAAGAGGAGCAACATCGAGGGAATTATGGATGCCAGCGGGATGGTCCAACAACTGGGATTTAGCACATCATCGATGATTCCGACGGTTGCTAGTGCAGCGGAGACCGTCGTCGAAATCATTAGTGTCCCAGAAAACACCGTAGGTCTAGGTTAGTTTGTGGAGTCTTTGTCATCCATCTCCATTCATATTTTCTGAGGTCACTTTCCGATTTAGTGATTGGTAGAGGTGGCTCAGAAATCCAGAATATCCAAAGTACAACGGGATGTCGTGTGCAGATGAGTCCAGATGGGGATCCTGGTACAGGTGTTCGCCAGTGCACGCTCCAAGGTAGTAAGGTGCGGTTTTCGTTTCACATTTTTGAGTAACACGGTGTTGAAAGTCTATCTTTCAATCTGGTTTTTGTGGTCCTTATTCGTTCTAGTGTCGATAAATTGATTATTTCGTGAGGGATTTTTCACTTGAAAGAACGTTTCCATAAACTTTGGATTAGAACGAATAACGCTATCGTTTTACGTTGACATGGATTTGTTATACGCAGATTTTTGAATGTATGCCAATACCGGATGAATTGTCTCCTAGTTCTAATTCTTCTAACCTCGCTGTGGTTTCCACTTTTTTGTTGCAGGGTACTTTCCTTAGCGAAAAAAAATGTAATAGAGCGCTTTCATACCTGTCCTGTTTTATTTTTCTGGTAATAAAACTTATCATCGAGTATTTTTGCGGCCAACCGTTTTCTGGAGTAAACTACTTTCGAATATTTGACATATCAGTTGGGCAATGAGAAACATCGGCTCCATTTCTCTAGTTTCATACCGTTTTAGATAGCCGTGGAGAGAGCTAAACAGATGATCACCGATGTTATTACAAGGGCGGCATCTCGTCCTTCAGCTCAGAACTTCACTTCTCCAGACGGACGTGCTATTACAATCGAGATGACTATACCAGCAACAAAATGTGGTCTTGTGATTGGAAAGATGGGAGAAACGATAAAACAACTCCAGGTAATACACAAACAGATAGTCTATGGGTAAGCTTCCATCTTATTAGTGGACCAGTTGCCATATAGATGCTTAATTCTTTCTAATATTAAATTTGGTCGAAAGTTCAGTTTTCCTGAAGCCATGGAAGGAAAGCTCAAGTTGTTTCGGGACGTAATTTTGTAGATGGAGTTACTTCAATAAACAAGCTACTGTTGTACTTGATGTCGGCAATTTGAAGTCGAATGCAAGCATCTTCATATACTTTTTCCAATTTTATTTTACATGACCATTTGTCACAACCACTGCGAATTCCAGCACTTCTTGCATTCGTTTCATATTCCTCACCTTCTTCCTTCACTATGGTTTTCCAAAATTCGGACGTTGTTTTGGCAGCTGCGTGAGCGTTTTGTCTTCTGTATGAATGTCATAGAGTGCTCATCGAATCGATTATCCTTGCAATCCTGGAGATAAGCACGCTAAGATGTTCTCACCTGGATTGGAGCGGAGCTTTGGAGAGGGGTGTAACTATCGCCTTTGCTTCCTGATTGACGGCGTCACAACCACTGCGCTATATCCTCTCTCCTATTCGTATACTGGGTTTCTTTATTTGTGCATCCACTGCCTAGATTCTTCAAATTTAGAGGGAGACAAAATGCTGCCATTTTTATTTACAGCGCAATAATTTTTATTTTCATGGTATTATTTGAAATATAACCATAATGTTGCTGAGTTATTTGCAAAATCGCTGGTATCTGCGGTGGGGACCGAAAACACGCCATTACCATTTCCGGGGGCTAACGCGTTCACACCACACCATGCAAGTCCTTCGTTTGTCTCTCTGCCGTGTTATTGACCAATAGGCGCCATCAACAATCAACCACCCGTTAACGGAATTGATCTAGACAAACAGATGAAGACAAAATACTTAAGTGTTGGTGGTTCAGTGTAAAGAGTTATGTGTTGTAGTCATTACCTCGAAGGACGCTTGTAGATCAGTGGTTAGAAGTTCCCTGCAATATATACGAGATCGATTTCGCGCCTCAAGCTCACCAAGACTTGCATTCCTACGTGGTCGGCAAATTAGTGCGAAACTTGTCTGAGGGAATAGTAGCACGGATTCAATACATCGATAGGGCACCGAAAGGCATTGTAAAGGCCAATTATGCATCCAGTCGCTTCTTACGATGTTTAATGAAGTCAAGTGCATGGCACGTTCCTCAGGGATTCATCAACGCCGAGGGCTTTATCTGTATCCTTTTACAGTCGTCACCCGTCTCAGGCCTCTATTTTATATTAGGTTTCAAGCTAATGTACAGGTTTTCAAAATGGTCTGCTGTTTGCTTCACTTGAATGGCTAGGTAACGATTCCTCATGTTAAGAGAGGGTTGGTGTTACCTACCAGTCATTCCGTTACTCATTGAGTGGTAGCTGTACCGGACGAAGGTAATTTTCGGAAGGCTGGGATATGGAACCATGGACATGTTGAAACTTTACTGTTCAGCGGATTACTATTGAGGGGATATCTTTTCTCTTATTTCTTCTTTTCACACGAAAGTAAGCAGATCTAAGTTGACACGCGTAGAATTTTGTGACCAGAATGTGTTTCCATTGTTCTTGCAATATTGCACCATTTAGGAACAAGCCGGATGTAAGATGGTAATGATACAAGATTCACAAGAAGTTACAGGGCAGTCGAAACCTCTACGTATTACTGGTGATCCTGAGAAGGTGTGCTCACGTTATGGTTTTTCATACAGATTAGTAAGATGGTGTGGTTAAGTTTACACTAACGGCGAGATTAATGTTGGAATATTTCAGGTTGAAGTAGCAAAACGACTAGTAACAGATTTAATAAATTCTCGCGAGGATAATGGTACAATACCCCGTCTTTACTCAGAGCAAGCCACTGCTAAAGGGGAGGTAAGATGTCTTGAAATTGTGACCTTATTTCTTCCATTATGGGTGTGTTGTCATTTTACTAATGTGATGTTCAATGTAATGAACCTTCAGGTTGTTGTACCGCGTGCAAGTGTTGGCATGATCATAGGAAAAGGGGGTGAGACTATAAAACGGCTAGCTTTGGAAACAGGCACTAAGATTCAATTCAAGGCAGATGGTGAGTGATACCAAACTGAAGTTCTAAGTTGGGCCTTCCTTTTCGTTTGAGGTATGTGATCACTGCCAAAGTGTTCGAAAGACAGATTGTTAGATTAAGCGCGTTTTTTGGATAGGTTTTCCGTGTGATTCGACATAAAATATGCCTTAGTTCTCTTTTTCTCTTCTTTTTTCAAATGGATTTTTGTGATATGCCTTTCATTTTATTAAATGGTTCAGTGTATAGTTGATACAATTTTCTCAGATGATCCATCATCGCCCGATAGATGTGCCGTCATTATGGGATCTCGTGAGCAGATATACAAAGCCACTGAACTTATTACTGAATTGGTCCATAAAAGCTGTAGTGGTGCAGCTCTTGCTGGACAGACGGAGGTGGGCGTTACAATTCTGTAATTATGCAATTTTTAATTGTTCTGAAAATGTAGACATTTTCGATGTTAACGATCGGAAAGATTTATTTGTTGCGCTCAACGTTTTTGTCTTTAGATGCTGAAGTTGTTTCAGATGGTTTCTTTTAATCGAGTTACAAAATTAGCTATTCCATAAAGAGAACTTTTTTCCTGCGTTTTTTTTCGTTATCAGATACGCCAAATTTCCTTCAAGCTGTTTCTGTCCGTTACCGTCACTTGGCTGTTGGAAATTTTTCGACTAATTAATACGTTTTCTTAACTTTCATTGTGAAACTTGTACTTTCATATACGGAGAAATTCCGATTTGGTAGGAAACGAGTTTTATGGGAAGCGTATGAGACCAAGCGTTTACTAAGAAATTTATACTTTTTTTGAAATGATTATCGTGCACAATTTATAGGGCAATGGTTGTTTATCACATAAGGCCGCCTTATGCACACTATAGTGTTCGTAGCGATGTGGACCAATTGCCTATATGAACATTGTAGTGTCCATATTAAGTTTAGCGGGTTTTAGAGATTTTCACGGCACTGAGTGTACTCATACAGTAGCTAGTCGAAGGAAGATGAAAATAGTAGGAGCGTTGAGAAAAAAAAAGCCACTCTGTACGCATAGTGGTTTACAGGAAACCCCTTTTTTTCGGGAAGGTTCATTGACTGGTAATTTGGCTAACAATTAATTGTTCTTTCATCTTCATCGTTTTGATCATCGCATGGAATGTGTGGATAGAAAAAACACCAAGACGAAGGCAACATGTGGTACAAAATATTTTGAAGTGCTGGCGCTATGCATCTACTCTATGGATCATAGTAACGCACAGTAAATGTACCATACATATCATTCATAGCCACAGAACAATAGAGTAAAGTCTCTTCTACGATTCCGTCGCCTTTAAAACTCCTTTATTTTTGGAGGAAATTTTTTTTTGCCAAAATACTAGAGAACCCCGAGCCAACGAGAAATTGCTCGTAACCTGTTTAGCTAGGCGCGAAACACAGGAATGGAATGTTGTGGGGCATTCATGTATTTGTAAACACATTGCTGAACTTCAGGCTTTCTACATGCATGTTCCTTCAAACAAGACGGGCCTCGTCATAGGTAAAGGAGGGGAGACCATTAAACAGGTTTGTTTTGAAGAGAAATGTGATGGTTTAGCTCGTCTATCTTAACGTTCTTGTTTATAGATCAACGCTGAAAGCGGCGCTCACTGCGAGCTCTCGCGTGATCCACCTCCAAATCCACAAGAGAAAGTGCGTCGGTTAGAAAAATCCTGCGCTACTCTAACCTTGTTTTTTTCTGTTACAGGTGTTCATCATTCGCGGCACTCCGTTCCAAATTCATCACGCTCAGCATATTATTCGTATCAAGGTAATGTTTTTGGTTTATAAAGGCGCACGCCGAACGTCCAGCTGATGGGATATGTTCATTTCTTAATTTTCTTGCTTTGATTTTAAAACTAATATTTGTTGCTACGAACACATTGTTAGGAAGTACTGTGCAGGAAGCTTTATATATCTACAATGAGACAAAGTTTTTGTGTAGATGAAAAGTAATTTAGTGTTGAGCGTTTAATCTGTATAACCAGACTGTTATTAGGTGCAAGCTTTAGAACATTTTTCTATCGGAATTTGTTTTTTATTTTGCTAAACTTCAATATCTATTAACGGTGTAGGTGTCGGCGATGTCTTGGTTTTTTTAAAATTTGGCAGTTATGAGCTTAACTTATCAAGCATTTGTTTTACATTTCGATGCAACATTGTTGGTTTTTCTACGACGTGCTTTTATCAGGTCGGTGATATTGCTCCAGGCACTCCTGTGCCTCCATTCACTGGGGCGGGTGCACCAAACGGCAGTAATTTTAATGTATCACAATATAACGGACAGTATGGTGCTAGTCTATGGAACAACACATACGGTATGTTCTATGAAAAGTTCAGGAAACGATTTTCAGTGAAGGAGTCGTTTTTCTAACATTTATAGCAATTTTAGCCCAGCAAACCGATGCTGGCAACGGGTGGGCCAATCATGCAGGGCAGTACTATGCTGGTGCAGCCGCAGCAGCTAGTGCTCAAAATTCCTACGGTAGTATGCAAAGTTACACCTACGTGCCTCAGTCAGGCGGTCAACCTGCAAGTGCATCGCAGAGTTCGAGCACTACTTCATCAGGACCCACTATTAATCCCCAAACAGGCCAACCTGACTATTCCGCTCAGTGGGCAGAATACTACAGGTTCGTTTTTTTACTGTGTTAAGTAAGGTGTCGTTTCGCAGCTATTGAATTTCATGAACATAGTGTACAATATTCTAACGGTGTTCGCTAATATGTGGTATCTCTGTTATCTGGTAGTATACACATTGTTCGGAATATTTCCCCACTTTCGCTTAATATTTATATCACATTGTATCATATAATCTTCTACTTTAAGGACTTTATAGATCATTGAAATGTTTATCATTAAAGTTTATATCATACTATATCAGCAGCATCCTATGGATCTTTTTCACACAGAGATCTGTTGCCGGTTAGTAGCGAGAGAGGGTGGCTTTCCCAATATGACTGATAGGGGGTTAATCGCCCATGAAAAGCGACCCTGTGCTTCCTTGAGACGCAGGTGACGAGTAGAGATTCCGTGTTTCTGTTACGCCGATTTGACACATACCTTCTGTGTTTATGACGACATACGTGCGTCGCAGTTTTCTCACTTACGCAGATTATATTCTACGAACCAATTCCACCAAAGGCCGGCGACATAGTGACTGCCAAGTACACGGGGGATGGTTAGGAGTCACCTCCAACAAATAAGCTCTTCTTCTACGCTGGTAGATGCCCAAGCCTCATCTTCAGAGCTCAGCAGGCCATACGTTGGTATCAAACGCTAGATGCAGTCAATTAAACAGAGCTTGCTCACCGGTCCCCGAAACAGCCTCCGATACGGCAACGTTGGTAGGACGAGTACGGAGAGGTTGCTGAATGAAAGCTCAAGACTATTTTAACTTGCCTAAATCATAAAAGCCTATGGTGACTTGATCATACAGGTAAGACAGATCAGCTGCGATGTTATCGGATTAGCTGAAACGAGTATATGCCGCCCATTTAACCCCGTCTGTTACACCGGAGAAAAACTTCCTCGGAACATGCGACAGTCGCCGAGTCTGCGGCACCGGTGTTCTCATCAGTGCGCGAGTTTGGCTATGAATATTGTCGATTAATTCGAACAACTAACAGCGCTAATCCGATTTTGATGGTTGAAGAAGTATGGATTAATACTGGCTTGCACAATCGTCGTCTGCGCACCGACATGAAGCTATGACGAAGCCGAAGTGAAAGCGTTTTGTATGTTTTTGGAGGTTCTGTACAGATCTCCGTATAAGACAGCACATCTTTTATGCTCATCATTGGAGATACCTTAACGCTGAGGAGGACCCTGAAAACGTCTGAAGAACTCACAATGAGACGCACGAATTGGAGCGGAACGAATAGAATGAACGGCTCTCTCAATTTTTCGTGACGACCAAGCCTTTCGGTATGGGCCACAATTTGAGAAGCACCGTTAAGAGCGGTATTTCGTCGCTGAAGAATAGAACAAAACGTGGTCAGAGTAGGATAGTACAACACCAGAACGATCATCTGCCAGCCCTCACCATCGCGATGTCTTGGCTGTTCTCGCGTTACCTGTCGGAATACATGAGTGCAGCAGTGAAACTGGGAATTGATGGGCGCTAAAATAACACTTAACATTTGCTAAGCGGAACAAATGCTAGCCGTACTTCACAACACTTATGAGAAGCGTGGTCTTCGACTAAATCTCTCAAGGACGATATTCATGAAGAGCGGGTTTATTTCGTATGTCCAATTCACGCTCAAAGAGATGAAGATCTTGGGATACTGCAGCTATGTCTATATAGATCGGAAATTGAACTGGATGAACAACTTAGCTCCAGAGTTGAGTTGAAGGATGAGAGCGACTTGGGAAGCTTTCAAGGTCATTGAGGTTATGGTGAGGAGAACAAAGAACACCCAACTTCTTGTACGCCTGTTCGACTGTACAATTCTTCCTTCCTTAACGTATGCGTTAGAAAGCTTTTGCAACGTCATCGAAACGACGATGGTATGAGTATGCCATTATCACACAATTGAGAGAGAGGATCCGAAACGTCGACTTACGCTAATTATCAAAATCCATGGTGCTGTTCTTCAAGCCAAATTGTCGAAGATCTGATGTGCCCGGCACGTAATGCGTATGAATGACAACCGATGGGCAAGAGCCATTAGCGAGTGGGTCCTCCGGGATGTTAGAACTACAGCAGCGAAGCCGTCGAGCCGATTGTCTGAGCTTTTCACGAAAACCGTTGAAGAAAAATATAGTTCCTAACGAGTCCCTAGAGCGATCAGGACCACCCTGTGGGTGTTTTTGTTCACATCGAAAGAGGTAAATGGTGTACTAGCTTTTGTTGTCATCACTCGAAGACCACTGAGACGACAAATGATCGCAATCACCGTGCACGTATAAGGAGAAAACGATCCATTCGGTAGAAGTAAGTGTTCTGTTAAGGTGTTTTAACAAATATTTTCATAGGTTCTGGAAAATTGGTGTTCTCGCAATGGCAGTAACGTGAAACTCAGCCATTGTCGTTCATTTTACACTGTTTTTAAAAAATATTACAGGTCTATGGGACTCCATGATCAAGCGGCGTTAATCGAGGCTCAGATGAAGCAAAACGCTGCACGTAGTGCAGCAGCTGCTTCAGCGAATCCGCCACCGCCGGGTACTACAACACAGTCGACGTATTCGAACGCAAACCATCTGACGTCTGCTGGAACTGCAGGCCAGTACTCTGCATATTCAGGTGTACAAACACAAGGTTTTCCCGCTACAGGACAGTTTCAATCACAGCAACAGCAGCCACAGGCGCAACCGCAGCAGCAGTTTTAATGTGGGTGAAATAGAGGGATGCATTTTAAAAGTATTGTTAGATCTCGGAACAACCCGTCAGAAATATGACGAGTCTGTTTTCTGTTTATGTGACTGTGACTTGTTGTTTTTTCTGCGGGTACCAATGTTTCGATGTTTTTTGTCCTGTACTGTTTTGTTGGAATTTATGTATCAAAATCCATTACGTCACTAATTCTAATTTTAACATTCTATTTTCTAAGGAATAACGTACAAGAAGTAACGAATATTATACGTTGACATGTTGTAATGTTGATAAAGGGTTTCCTGTTGTGGTCTAAGAAAGCATGAGCGTGAACTAGCCAAAGTCTCTAATTGTTAGGTGCGATGTTCTTTTCAGTTTTTTACAGGATTAAGATGTTATTGGAAGGAGTGCTTATTAAAGGGTAATGATGTGGTCGCCACATAACAATAGCATTTTAAAAGACAACAAGGTTGAATCCTTTTGCCAGCTGAAAGGAATGCCGGTGTATCTCACTGCAGCTGATTAATATTTAGACAGGGATACCACGCTGATTTGTGGTGAACCTGTTGTCGACTGCCAATATGTAATCATTAGGGTGTATTCTGAATCTAATGTGGAATTTTGTGACGATAGTCATTTATAACAAAGCTATTAGGAGGATTCGGTTGCGCGATACTAAATCCGAAGGATTTAAGTATGAGATTTTCTAGCGGCTCTATCAGTGTACACTACAGTATTGACTAATCTACCACTGAAAAACGTTTTTCAGCATCCATATACTCGCCAGTGAAGTCTGCGCACGCTTTTATGATGTGACGGTGAATATACGGGAATCAAAAGCAGTATAAAGAACAAGATCCAAACTTCTTTGCTTTGCCGCAGTAAGCTCGCTTTTTCGTCCTCATAGCATTGGCAGCGCGCGTGCTGTTTAAGTTTACGACTGAATTGAATTCAATTGCCTTACCTTCTACTCGATCTATTAGCTGCCAGCACTTGTTGCACATAGCTGGTTTCTGTTTCATCCACTAGCCAGAATTTTGATGTATAAGCCTTACAAGATTGTACCGTTTAAACACTTGTGGTTTGAACATCTCTTCGGTCTTTGTTAACTTGAGTTGTTTACGTTTTCATTTTGTATTGTTGGTTAGGTTGCCTACTACATATGTATTCGTACAATTCATCGTTATTCTACCATATGTTGACCTTCTATTCCTGGAGGAGGAAAGTTACTTCCATGACTTCATGGAGAATATTTTGTGTACCATACGACTTTTCAGATTATTACGATCTTGTAAAATACGATCTTTTTCCTCACTAACGTAACCAATTTGGACTGGTGTTTTTTTTCCATGTTGTGTATGTTTTCTTTTCACAGAATGAGTTGTTCTATTTCCTTTTCCCTGCTACTTCTTAATGTTTTCTTTTGAATTTTTTTTTTACCAAGGAAGTTTCTTTTATGCATTTCGAAGTTGATTAAGGTTTTTTGAAATGTTGCTTTGTATTTTTACTTCGTTGTGGTGTACTGCAGTGCGAATAAATATTGATCATTACCACAAATGTTTTGTCAAATCAAAAAGTAGAATTCGAATATGCAGTATCTATAGTTTTTTTCTGATGTGGATTACATCTGCTGTTTGTGAGAGCTGTCTTTTCATGGGCAAATTTCGGATGTCACAATGATTTGCCGTCGCTTAGCTATAGAAAGTCGGAAAGGCTGTCTACTTTGTGGTAATGCTTAAAATATTCCATCTCGTAGCTTTGGTAATATTAAACGATCCAGTATTTGTATCGCTAGAAGTTTGGAAGCTTGAAGGTTCTGATGGGAAACCGCTTCTATGGAAACAGACTTGTTCACTCCTTTCTTTTGCATTGAGAAATTAAATGTAGGCTTTTACGGAATGGTGGAATTGATGAACCGTAGGATGTTTGGCTGATAAAGCACTGATAACTGTGCGTTAACATTTTGGTAACTGTCATATTTAAAAGAACTAGTCGTTTGTTGCATTCACATGCAGATGTTGTTCTTGCTAGAAGTTGCATTGGAATACTAAAATCGCATAAATCTAGGCCACGGTTCTTCACTAGAATTATTTGACGTGGAACATTGTCGAAAGAATGCCGCTCATAAGTTGTTCGATGGCGAAGATATCTATAAAATTCGAAATGCTTTAGGTAGGTTTTCAAACAGATCGTTGATCGCATATTGGAAAAGAGTGCTCGCATGCTTTTTCTTTCACGGCCGGGGTAATATCGTATAGTAGAATAGTACATTCCAAAGTATTTTAATAGAAATGATTTTGTTGTGGCACTTTTTGCAATTATTTGTTATAAAAAG